TCTTATCTACACCCGTTTACTGAGTTCCATCCCAGGAAGGATAAGCGAACAACAAGACAGTCTCGTCGGTGGCACAGAGGTTAGGACTCTCGCCGATCACGCACATGGTCCGGATTTCGATCCTCTGCCGACGCACAACTGATATCTATGGTCGGCCAGCAAAATTTAGGTTACCGATATCACATGCTGAAAATTCCATACCTGTACCAAAAATACGGTGTGGAATCAAGCTGTAATAAAAAAATATGCTGAAGATAATGAAGATGGATTGGACACACTGAGAAGACCATTGAGTGATATCCTACGCTAAGTAAACGTTCGAATGTAACGGCAATCGGGAAGGACAAATGTGGCAGCGGTACGGCGGTGACATAGAGTGGACCCTGTGAGCAGGAAATGGAAGCTTATGAATGCTCTCAGTGCTGCTGAAGTAATGTGTTCTACTATGAAACCAACCAGCTCAGAGAACACTTTTAATTGCAAATCATCCACCTGAGCTACAAATCTTCTCTATTACTATGAAACCAATTAGATAGTAATAATTCGCCTCAGTTTATTATTTTAGTTGTATAGTTTTTAATTTTTGTGTTTATGTGCTTAGAGTAGTACTGTCATTGAACAACTTTTTGTCACTTAAATTATGTTAATTTTCGGTTTTTGTAACCTACTGATAAACAGCCAATAAGATTGTGTGTGTCACATGGTATAAGTTAGTTATGTTATTTAAGCAACCTTGATCAAATCCGTTTAACATTGTAAGATGAAAAGGTGTAGTTTTCGATTTTGATTGGTTGTACAACAACAACAACAACAACTATCGAACGAATGTTACTCAATAATGAATTTCTCACGTGAGACTTCTATTTACTATAACAGTGTAATGTGTAAAATGAAGAGTGTATTTTGTTATGGTTACATTTGTTGACTCTATAGGCTTTGGATATAGTTATAAGTGATTCAGTGTCACTTATAGTCTGACTGACATATTGTGAATGAGTGAGTTTCAGCCTAGAACTCAGCACAGAAGTGTAGCAGTTCAAGTTGCCACACTATGTAGCGCAGAATGATAATGAGAAAAGAGAGAACAATGTGATTTAAAAAGTTCGAAAAATAAGTAACATGGAAGAACATAAGGGTTTCATAGATACAAAGAGTGAATGCATCTGTTGTACTACTCAAAAAAACTTTGAGCCATATCACTAACAGTCGCAAGCCATTGATTCACACAGTCTACACCAACTGTCGAAGAATTCATGGACTTATGATTTGATTCGACCATCCATTTACTCATAAATCCTAACTTCTATTGTTTCACAGCATAGCACCGCCACTGTTCAACGCCGTCAGTGAGTGAGTAAATGTTCGCAAAACTTAACTTTATGAATGCTATATGTTGCAACTCATTGGAACTCGGGGAAACTTATTTTACAGTTAGTCACTAAAGTGCAATTTTCTATTGTTCTCTAACTTTTGTCTGTCCGTGGTGTGATTAACTTTGAAGTCAATTAAAGACTTCCACAGTGAAAATTGGATAACTCTAGTCTGCTATAGACTGCTCAGCAGTCCACTTCGTCCTCCTTTATGGCTGTGAGACCTGGTCATTAAGAGCGGAAGACGTGAAAAGATTAGCTGTCTTTGATCATAGGTGTCTGCGTTCTATCTCCCGTGTGAAGTGGTATAATAGGGTGAGCAATATTGAGGTTAGGCACGGGTCGAGTGCTAGGTAAGGAGGGGAAATCAGTCAACGAGGCTGTGAAATTACATCGACTGAGATGGTTAGGACATGTGTTACGTATGCCTAGTCATCGCCTTCCTCAACAAAGGGCAATGTTAGCTGATATAGGATGGGTCAGGCTGGAAAAGAGCTAGCGGCAGTCAAACCAAAACATTACACCAGTCAGTGAAATTTACAACAGTTAGTTTAAGTCACGTGGGAAGGTGTAGACCTCCTGGTTGGGGTCCTCGGGACGGTAAAAACCAATAATTGGAAACAATTCGTGACATGGCTCAAAATCGTTCTCAATGGCTGGCGCAGATGCATCCACTCCTTGTGACTTATAATACCCAATGAAACTGTTTTGTTCTTCGTTATTACTATTCCTTTGTCTCACACCTCTGTTTACTGACTATATTATGCATTTCTCCTACTTTCTTCTCTTGGTTTGTGTGCTACATGGAGTGTGGCGACTTGAACTGCTGCACATCGATGCAAAGTTCTATGTCGAAAACAGACAGGCAGACAGTCTTCATTGTACAGTCATTTTCTAATCCTGCAATTAATTTCTCGGTTTCAAGGTGAGAATATGCCTAAGCAATCAGCTATATGTGACAAAAATATACGCAGTTATACACAGTTATAGACACAACTTGAGGTGTGAAGTTACTTCAACCTGATTGTTATCAACCAGTATCATCGTTTGAACACTTAGCTTTAATGTTGTAAAGTAATAGGTATTTGGAGTGCGTCGGTGGCACAGCGGTAGAATGCTCGCCAACCATGCCTCCTGTGGTTCGGGGTTCGATCCCCGGCCGATGCACTGCCAAACCTCGCTAAAGCAGTAATAAGACTGGTAAAGAGGGAAGGTTGGGGATGAGGCTAGCAACCCCGGGAATAAAAAAATAGGTAATTGGTGAATAGACTTATTTCTAAACCGTGTTGTAACAATTTTACTGTGATAAATAACTACGTGGATGAGTTCTGTAAATTATCAGTTAAATTCAGTGTTGTTACATCTCTATTCGCCGGCAGTACGACTTTCCCCCTCCAATTCTATGAAGGTAACTAATTTTGGTCTAACCGTTATCCAGACGACTTCCAAGAACATTAGTTCCAGCCAGCGTATCTAGTTTAGTCATAGAGGTAGGCAAACCCGATCACCAGGTCAAGGTAGCAACTGTCGGTCAGACTGCACTGAACTGATCACAGATTGCATTATATTAAGACGTGCTACGTGGATGAACAGTGAGTAACTTTTCAGAAAATTTCCGAAATCGGTCTATGGTATAAGGCACTTGATGACACCACTACTGGAAAAGGTGTGGAAAGAAGGCAAAGTACCCGAGTATTGGAAGAAAGAATACTTATTCAAACTAACAAAGAAAGGAAACTTAAGTCAGTGCAAGAACTGGCGCGGAATTATGCTCCTGTCCATACCAAGCAAAATATTAAGCCGCATCATCCTGTAGAGAATCAAACAAGCTCTGGATGAGAAACTTCGACCGGAACAGGCTGGATTCAGGAGAAACAAGTCATGTATTGATCATCATTGAACGGAGCTTAGAATGGCAGTTAGCTCCCTACCTCACCCAACTTCATTGACTTTGCAAAGGCCTTCGACAGCGTCGATCGAGAGGTGCTTTGGCAACTACTTCGCCACCGACAATTATACATCTCATCCAACAGTTGTACGACAATGCCGCATGCCAAGTAATCCACAACGGGAAACTTACGGAATCTGTTATGATGCTGGATCTTCTGTCACGCGGTCACTGCTTAACTACTGACCAGTACCCACATAACTGGTAAAGCAGAACACGAAGAGAATCAACTGTAAAACCGGGTTCATTTATTATGACAAAATTGACTGTATTTATACAGAAAATAAGGTAGACTGGAAATCAATCAATCCGGTTGAGAGTTTGAATTGTGCAAGCGTCCAATCAAAAGCAGGAACAATTGCATGTCAACGACTTGTTAATAACGCGATAATAACTTGACTGAGAGATGATAATGACCTGATAATTGCATGTGTTTTGCCTCTTCCTATCAGAATCCTTCGAAGTGAGGACAGGTGTAAGACATGGCTGCCTACTATCACCAATGATTTTCCTGATTGCGGTAGATGGGATAATGCGACAGACAGTGGGCAGCGAGGAAACAGGCATAAAATGGACCCACACAAAACACTTGGAGGATCTGGACTTCGCCGATGATATATGTCTGATTTCCCACAAACTGGAAGATATGCAAGTGAAAAGCAACAAGTTGGCGATAGAAGAAGCATCCAGAGAAGATAGGAATTCCCTCATGTGAACACAGAGAAAACAGAGGTAGGTGATGAAGATTCCTGGCCAACAGCAACAGCCACAGAAACAACAACAGACAACAGTCAGCACAAATGGGGATAATATGAAAGAAGCAACCTCCCTCACCTACTAACTACCTGAGAAGCATCGTTTCAACTACAGGCGGACGGAACTGACGAGGATATCAAAGCGAGGATCGGGGAAGCAAGGCAAGCTTTCATTACTCTCAAGTCTGTGTGGAGGTCAACAACACTCAGCATCAAAAATAAGATCCAGATTTTCAACTCCAATGTGAAGTCAGTGCTACTCGCTATACGGATCAGAGACTTGCACTGCGCGTCATAAAGAGCATCTCAAACAAACTAGAGACCTTCATCAACAGTTGTCTTCGCTCAATAGTCAAGATCGGATGGCCGGCTAGAAAAGATCAGCAACAGAGATCTCTGGGAGCGAACCAACCAGGTGCCGATTATGAAACGAATAGCCAGGAAGAAATGGAGATGGATTGACCATACTCTGAGGAAACAAACCATCAAGTGACATCACTAGACAAGTCATTGCTCGAGTGCAACCCGAAAGGGAAGCGGCGAGTTGGTCGTCAGTGCAAGGGTGACTTGGAGGAGGTCATGTGAAGAGGAGATGAAAGCATGTGGGTAGACGTGGAGCTAGGTGAAAACTTTAGCTGAGAACCGAACTCAATGGAGACGCATGGCTGAAGCCCTATGTTCCTCTAGGAATTAAAGGTAACGATAATAATAATAATAATATAAGGCATATTATTAGATTTTCATATGTGTAGAATTATGAGTGAACAAAGCATTACGTCTCGTAATTTCAACTATTTTCTCTGATATTTGCTTAATTATGCTGATTCATTTTACCTATAAAATATGCCTGTATGATGATTGATAAGTGATGTATTAAATTGTCATATTATTTATTGCTTTTTTAAAACCATCTTTTTTTATGGTCAGGTGGACTGTGGAGTGGATATTAATTCATGGGCAGTGATTGAAAAGAACATCAACGTCACCTTACTACATCGAGCTATTTGTGAAAAGAATGAAGAGGCTGCTATATTTCTTGTAAAACAGTATGTTCTATAACAAATATGCTTTATTACTTTTGTCCATTTTTTAATTCTTAACGATTAAATTTTATTTTTTACAGGTGTTGGTTTGTGGAGATTTGATTGGTGTTTCAAGTTTTTTTTATTCCTTCACGTTCCCAGTAGAACGTAGGGCGGCTTCAAACTAGAGGCTTGAAGTTTCTGTAGCAGTGTTTATTTTTACAGGATGGGGTTGCCAGCCTCATGCCCAACCTTCTCTCTTTACCAGCTTTTTATTACTGGCTGAGCGAGGTAAAGGAGTGAGTCTGTAGCCGGACCATGTGCATGGTCGGCGAGCGTCCTAGCCGCTGTACCACCGACGCACGGTGTTTCAAGTTAGATCACACAAAATGACATCAGTTAGAGAATTACTGGGAGCCGTTGTCTTATTTTCGTGGGGTGGGGGGGGAAAGGTGGGCGGTCTCTTCAAGATTTGCACACTCATAAACCCACTAAAGGTCGAATTCTGGCTTTCAGTGGTTCTTTTGTTAGGGCCTAAAAGTTGGAATTGAGGACAGTGGGACTATTTATCGTGAATAGGCAGGAATTAGAATTCATGGTTCATTGGATTCTGTCCTACTGGCTGAGTGGTTATTAAACTGGCTTCACAACGAAGAAGGTTCCGGCCTCGATCCCGGGTGCGTTCTACCGAAAGGTCCTAAAATGACGGGAAGACAGCTATCCAATGTTCCCTGTTGTTTTCACTGGTTCTCTAACTGATTTCGATGATCGAACTTGAGATTGCTTTGTTTTCGTATTTGGATACTTATTGATGAGTGTGAACACTATATCTTTGTCTGTCTCTCTGTCTGTTTTCGACATAGAACTTTGCACATATGTGCGGCAGTTCAAGTCGCCACACTCCATGTAGCACACAAAGCAACAGAAGAAAGTAGGAGAAATGCATAATATAGAGAGTAAACAGAGGTGTGAGACAAAGGAATAGTAATAGCGAAGAACAAAACAGTTTCATTGGAAATCATGAGTCACAAGGAGTGGATGCATCTGCGATAGCCACTGAGAACGATTTTGAGCCATGTGACCCACCGACTGTCTCCGGCCATTGATTTTTACCGTCCCGAGGACCCCAACCAGTCAGGAAGTCTGCACCTTCCTACGTGGCTCAGACTAACTGTTGTGGATTTCATTGACTGATGCCATGTTTTGGTTTGACCGCCGCTAGCTCTTTTCCAGCCTGACCCATCCTATATCAGCTAACATTGCCCGTCGAGGAAGGCGATGACTAGGCATACGTAACACAACACATGTCCTAACCTTCTCAGTCGATGTAATTTCACAGCCTTGTCGATTGATTTCCCCTCTTTACCTAACACTCGACGCCTAACCTCAATATTGCTCACCTTATTATACCACTTCACACGGGAGATAGAACGCAGACACCTATGATCAAAGACAGCTAATCTTTTCAAGTGCTCTACTCTCAATGGCTATGTTTCACAGCCATAAAGGAGGACAGAGTGGACTGCTGAGCAGTACACACGCCCTTTGGTCGATATCTTTCTATATCTTTCACCATATTGAATAGAGGTTCTTGAGATCTGGAAGTTTTCATTTTCAGTACAAATATCTGATCGGTCAGTTGGTACGTCTTTCGCTGTGACGACTTAGATTAGAACTGAAATACAGCAGCAATGCATATGTCTTTCTCCAGAGATATCTCTTCATTATCATTAATTATTTCATTGTTAGAGAACATGTTTTAGTAGTTCTAGTCACTTGAACTCCAGATTCTAAAGTAGTTTCATGTTGATTGCATGAACATAGAATGCGTGAAAGCTGTTGTCAAAAGTTGCCCTTTGTGGTACATTGAACACAATGAGAAATAGCAAGAAAAGACAAGACTGGTTGGGATGTCCTCCTTTTTTTTTAATAGACAAAACACAACATCTGATATTAGCAAATGCTTACTTTAAAATCGCGAGAGATCTTCACTGTATTACCAGTGTTTTTGAAGGCAAAATACTATCAATTTTTTAAGTATATCCTCCTTCTATTGATTGTCAGTACAAATAGACAAGAAGAGAAGTTTTCCAGAAATTAATAAGGTGTTGTATACAAAGCATAGAAAAGTTCAGGTTCAAGTGTTGGTTTGTAGGGATTTGGTTGATTGGTTACAGGATTTCATCATGAGCTGACATTAGTTAGAGAACCATTGGGAAACCTGCAGGGAGTACTGGACAGCTGTTTCGTCCTAGTTTGGGACTCTTCATCAGTAAACACCCACCAGGATTCGAACCCAGGCGAGCTCGTATACCATTAGGCCACTGGGACCCGATCCAATGGCCCATGAATTCTAACTTCTGCCAATTCACGACATAGCGTGACCCCTAACCAATGACTTCGGTGAGTATTTCGGCGATTTGAGGTGTAATGAAGTCATTTCTCTTATTTACCTAAGCAGCATCTTCTTCAACTAGAGATGGCACTGATGAGGAGCAAGAGACATCTTAGTTAGTGTGGAAATCTACTGTACTCAGCACACGGGGGCAACATCCGAATTTTCAACACTTATGTCAAGTCGGTGCTTTTACCTGGTTCAGAGACTCGGCGTGCACATCACGAGAAGTATTTCCAACAGACTACTGCAGACTTTCGTCAGCAGCTGCCTTCGCTGCTTTGATTTTGAAAATAAGATGGCGGGCTGGTCGGCCAGAAAGGATAAGCAACGAGGATCTCTGGGAACGAATCGTACCAAGAACCTATCGTACAAAAAATATGCAGATGGTCTGGGCATATATTGAGGGGACCGTTGAGTGACATCGCACACCGAGCAGGCCTTCGAATGGGAGAAGAAAAGTTGGGCGTTCAAGAGTGACATGGGGGAGATCGTGTCAGGTGGAAATGAAAGGTTATGTGCAGTCGTGGAGCTAGCTAAAAAAAGTTGCAGAGAGCAGCGTGAAATGGGGGCGGGTGCTGCTGAAGCTCGACGTCCCACCGGAAATCCAAGGGAACAGCAATAATAATAGTAATAATGAGAGAATCTCTGTACCGTTTCTGAGTTTTAGGGCACATCATTTTATGAGATCATGAATTTTTCGCCGAAGGCATACTGTAAATTGCTGCATATGCTGCATCAGGTTATTTGTCAAGAGTTCTGTGATAATACAACATCTCAATGAAAAATTAGGTTCATATTCGGTCTTCCGTGGTAGTATAAGGTGTGGTGATTAAGGGGGTTTGGTTATCAGAATATTGAACTAACAACTAGCTGTTAGAACAAAGCAAGAACTACAGTTTTTTCAGAATAAAGTGGTATCATCATTGTTTATTTCGTTGCCTTCTCGTCAGCTGCTTAGAGGACAAAGACATTATTAAATATATCTACAAAAACAATTTTAACATACTTGCACAGAGTTCATTTTAAACAAAATATCAATCGATCAATATACGTATACAGCAATAATATATATATATATATATATATATATAATATTAAACACTATTCCGAACAATAATAATCATACACAATGGAAACTTTTCAGCATTTCGCATTCGGATGAAAGAGAGATGAAAATATCCAGTTACCTCAGGGCAAAGAAAGACTGATAACTGTTTCTTTCTGAACGCACAAATCAGGTTTCAGGCGCTTGATGGAAATGGCTTCGGCAGGCATCTCCTTGACACGGGTCATGAGGGGGACGTTGAAAAGTCATTCAAAATTATCAATAGGCAAAAGAGCTCAACTCCTCCTCAAGTTTGCTGAAGCCATTTCCATCAAGCGCCTGAAACCTGATTTATGCGTTCAGAAAGAAGCAGTTATCAGTCTTTCTTTGCCCTGGGGTAACTGGATATTTTCATCTCTCTTTCATCTGAATGCGTAATGCTGAAAAGTTTCCATTTTGTATGATAATTATTCTTCGGAATAGTGTTTAATATTGCATATATGTGTATATATTATTACTGTATGCATATATTGATCGATTGATTTTTGTTTAAAATGAACTCTGTGCAAGTATGTTGAAATTGTTTTTGTAGATACATTTAATAATGTCTTTGGCCTGTAAGCAGCTGACGAGAAGGCAACGAAATAAACAATGATGGTACCACTTTATTCTGCAAAAACTGTAGTTCTTGCTTTGTTCAAATTCATTAAGGGGAATAAATGTATGAAACTAGCTGTTAGTTAGCGTCAGTGTTTCATCTAACTAGTTAAAATATGCTATTATAATATTGATACTGAGCAGTAATGGAATCCAGGAGGTGCGTTTTATCCGATTTGGGACCCGTCAGCTGCATCTCCAGAGAGAAATGGTATTTTCACTGAGACTCAAATCCACCATCTCGAGAGTTACCTCTTGTGCAACTGCTGTTGGTTGTTATTTGTTGAAATAATAACTGTTGTGATTCCGTGGCCTAGTGAATCACACTTTTAGTGTTTAAAACGATGAGTGCTTAGTTCGAGTCTCAGTAAAAAGATCACCTCTCACTAAGGCGGAGGGGGGGCGGTGGAACACAATTACATTCAGATGACGAGTCATAAATAGAACGAAACTGGCGTCTTTGATTCTGCTGTTAAGCTGCCATCAACCAGATAACATTATATACGGCGTTTGTGTTTACTACCTCTACTATTTGTGAATTTTCATTATAATTGCTGATTTTTCGTTTTAATTTTTTTTTCTAAAATAGGGATTGTGATGTCAATGTATGCCCACAAGCTTTTGATGCTAAATTAACCTGTGAAGTTAACAATAAACTAGACGATTATCTTATGCCGTATTTATGCCGATCTCCACTGCATATGGCTATTCTAGTCGGTATGTATGAACTAGTCAAAGTGCTGATTAATTGTCATCGTGCAGATGTTAACCAACAGGTAGGCAAGTGGGTTCTTTTTTCTTTTTAAACTGCTATCTGTACAGTATTTCGCTTTTAATTAATAACAAAAGAATCTTTTCAAGTGTTATAACTGTGTAGTGTTGAGTAAGAATGGCTTGCAGCTCAGGTAAAGGATATCGGTTGTGTGTGTAGTGGTGTTCTCTGAGCTGGTTGGTTTATTTGCAAAGCTTTCGTTGTTTGTTTGTAGACGACATCTTCAGTTTGTTGAATTAAATCTGAAAGAAAGTCTACGCCAGTATTTTTCGAGCCACTCCTTGCCTAGTTATTTTTCGACTGATGACTGCTCCCTTAAATTGATGGTCGGGTTGCGTATCACAATGGCCCAATGGGTGGGCTACACTAGCTGGGACTTATGTTTCTGCATGTCCATACCATACCATACCATAAAGGTAGTTTGTATAGGGGTTCCCATGAAATCAGTTACGTTCATAGTGTTTTGGGGGGGGGGTTGTTGGCGGTGGTACTGTTGGCGAATAGGGATATGACAGCGCTAAGGTGTTTTCCTCAGACAACCAGTAAGCTATATTCAAGTGTTGGTTTGTAGGGATTTGATTGGTTAGCAGAAGTTAGAATTCATGGACCATTGGATCGGGTCCCAGTGGCTTAATCGTATACGAGCTCGCCTTGTAAACCAGAAGGTCCTGGGTTCGAATCCCGGTGGGTGCGTACTGCTGAAGAGTCCCAAACTAGGTTAAGGAAACAGCTGTCCAGTACTCCCAGGTTTTCCGATGGTTCTCTAACTAATGTCAGCTCATGATAAAAATCCAGTAAGCTATATATTCTTATTCTCCTCTCTGAGGAGATTGGTTAGAAAAGTTTTACTCCTAAAATTGTACATCCCGGTTGGCCTTGCGGTGGTTCGTAACCGGTGGTGAGGTCCTAATCTGTCTGTCTGTCTGTTTTCGACATAGAACTTTGCACCGATATGCAGCAGTTCGAGTCGCCACACTCCATGTAGCACACAAAACAAGAGAAGAAAGTAGAAGAAATGCGTCATAAAGACAGTAGACAGGGACATGAGACAAAAGGAATAGTAATAACGAAGAACAATAGTTTCATTGGAAATCATAAGTCACAAGGAGTGGATGCATCTACGCCAGCCATTGAGAACGATTTTGAGCCATATCACCAATTGTCTCCAGCCTTCATTGTTTTTTACCGTCCCGAGGACCCCAACCAGTCAGGAAGTCTACACCTACCTACGTGGCTTAGACTAACTGTTATAGATTTGACTGACTGGTGAGGCCATGTTTTTGTTTGACCGCCGACAGCTCTTTTCCAGCCTGACCCTATACCAGCTAACATTGCCCATCGGTCGAGGAAGGCGATGACTAGACTGGGCATACGTAACACATGTCCTAACCATCTCAGTCGATGTAATTTCACAGCCTCGTTGATTGATTTCCCCTCCTTACCTAGCACTCGACGCCTAACCTCAATATTGCTCACCTTATTATACCACTTCACACAGGAGATAGAACGCAGGCACCTATGATCAAAGACAGCTAGCCAGGCTTTTCATGTCTTCCACTCTCAGTGGCCATGTCTCGCAGCCATAAAGGAGGCCGAAGCGGACTGATGAGCAGTAAGGTCCTAGTATAGACACAACTCTAAAGACAGTGTAAAACAGGCCGTGTGTGACCGGCTTCAAATAGTTGTCCACTGGACTCTGAGGTCATGCAACACTAACGCTTCTTCTGTTTCAGATATTTCAAGAAGAAATCAGCTTTCACTGTGTGCTCAGTTCACAGACTCCCATTTCAGTTTGTGATTAGTAATTACTATCAATCTGTTGTGTTATGATTGGAAGACACGAATTTCAATATAGCAGAAACCCTTATTTAGATGTTTAATTGAATTTTAGATTTTCCCGTCGATTGATTGGACCGAAGTGCTCGGTCTCAGGTTGGCATGTCGGCTTCCTGTGCAGATGCTTCGACGATGTCTGTGATCGAAGTGCTCGGTCCAGTCAATCGACGGGAAAATTTAAGATTCCATTAAATAATTAATATGACCCGTTGCACAAGAGGTGGCTCTAAAGGCTCAAGTGGTCTGGTGGATAACTCTTTGGCGTTTGAAACTATTGGCACTGGGTTCGAGCCTCGGTGGGAAAATCACTGTCGCACTGCGGAATGCAGGCACATCCAGATGACGAGTCCCAAATAGGACGAAATGCGCGTTGTCCTGGATTCCACTGGTAGTCACCATCCACCAGTTACCTTATTTAGAAACTGAGCGAAGAAATATTATATCCTCATCAATGCCTGTTCCTCACTTTGCCTTCTGTGTGTACATCCACCAGTTTCACTGCTCCAGTGGAGCTGGGTACATTGGGAATACAATGAGCCATCTTCATCGTTGGATTTCTAAACATCATCCTGCATAGTTAAGTAAGGGACAAACAGAACCTATTCGTAGACATTATTAGCCCACCTTGTGGATGCTGATCATAAAGGTGATGGTAACAGAGCATTTAGTGCTATCTCTAATGCACCCAGTAATCTTGATTTTATATTAGCAATTCGTCTTCTACATACGGTAGGCGCCATCACGGAATCCACCTGAAGAAGCCGGATCTGTATGTTTTCAGAAGAAATTTGTACAACCAATTTCTTTACCTTGGTCATGTTTACATGAATGTAAAAGGTAACCAATTGCTGCATCCCCCTATTATACCATTCACAAATTACTATTGCTTGAACTGTTCGTTGGTGGTTCAATGGTAGAACACTCGTCAACCACCTACATGGTCCGGGTAATAATCCCTAAGAATTTATGCTTCTAAATGTGTAGTCTGCTTACCGATTTGTTCCGTTTTCAAGTGACTGGTAAAATCGGGTCAAAAGGCACTATTGCACTGAGATTCAGTTCTATGTATTTTTATCCTTCAGATGGACGAATTTATTATTAGTATTGTTTCCTTTAATTCCTAGAGGAACATAGGGCTTCAGCCGTGCGTCTCCATTGCGTTCGGTTCTCTGCTAGAGTCTTCACCTGGCTCCATGTCTGCCCACACGTTTTCATCTCCTCTTCATATGACCTCCTCCAAGTCACCCTTGGACGACCAACTCTCCGCTTCTCTTTCGGGTTCCACTCGAGCGATGGTTTGTCTAGTGATATCACTTGATGGTTTCCTCAAAGTATGGTCAATCCATCTCCATTTCTTCCTGCCTATTTGTTTCACAATCGGTTCTTGGTTGGTTCGCTCCCAGAGATCTCTATTGCTGATCTTTTCTGGCCGGCCATCTGATCTTGAGTATTGAGCGAAGACAACTGTTAATGAAGGTCTGTAGTTTGTTTGAGATGCTCTTTATGACACGCTGGCCAAGTCTCTGATCCATATAGTAGCACTGACTGACTTCACATAGGAGTTGAAAATCCGGATCTTATTTTTGATGGTGAGTGCTGTCGACCTCCACGCAGACTTGAGAGTAGTGAAAGCTTATCTTGCTTTTCTGACTCTTGCTATGATATCCTCGTCAGTTCCGTTCGCCTGTAGTTGAAACGATGCTTCCCAGGTGGTTAAGGAGGTTGTTTCTTTCAGGTTCCTCCCATTAATGCTGAATATTGTCTGTTGTTGTTGCTGCTGTTGGTGTTGTCCAGGAATGTTCATCACCTCTGTCTTCTCTATGTTCACCTGAAGTCCTATCTTTGATGCTTCTTCTGCCAACTTGTTGCTTTTCGCTTGCATATCTTCCAGTTTGTTGGAAATCAGACATATATCATCGGCGAAGTCCAGATCCTCCAAGTTTTTTGTGTGGGTCCATTTTATGCTTGTTTCCTCACTGCCCGCTGTTTGTCACATTATCGAATCTACTGCAATCGGGAAAATCATTGGAGATAGTAGACAGCCAGCTTTTTTTACTCTCGTCTTTACTTCGAAGAATTCCGTAAGTTTCTCGTTGTGGATTACTTGGCATGCAGCATTGTTGTACAGCTGTTGGATGAGATGTATAGTTGTTGGTGGCACCCCGTAGTAGCGAAGTAGTTTCCAAAGCGTCGTCGATCGACGCTGTCTGCTGAAGGCCTTTTCAAAGTCGATGAAGTTGAGATAGAGAGGTGACTGCCATTTCAAGCTTTGTTCATTGATGATCCGTGGTGTTGCGATCTGATCAATGCATGACTTGTTTCTCCTGAATCCAGCCTGTTCCGGCCGTAGATGGACGAAGAGGTATGTTAATTGATTGGTGACGCTGTTGATTTATTCTATCCTATATACCCTTCAAGTGAGATACAAGGCAAGTCGCCGAATAGAATCTGTAGTCCATGAGTAGTACGGCGTCCAAGAGTGACGCGGATGAGGAGAGTATGTAAAGAGAAAATGACAGTTTGCGGCTTGGAATGTGGATGGTATGAGAACCGAGTGTGTAATACGTGTGTGCCACTGAAACTCTATGTTCTACTTGGAACGTATAGATAACGCATACAACATTCCATTTATCCTATTTGTATAAAAATGGTCGAATTGTAACGGCAGAACGTGGCAGTATATGTTAGAAAAATGGTTTATCAGGGAAAACGTATGCACAGCTATGGTAAAGTACAGAAATTTTATATTGAAATCTCCATTTGCAAATGTTCTTCGTATGGTGCTTCTTTTGTCTTCCTTTCATATACTTTCTATCTATTGTTTATTAGGGATCTCTCATTTCTCTTCTTTGTCATTTAATCCATAGCTCCACTACTGACTATTCTTTCAGAAAACGTCACACACAATACATACTACTTATAAAATCTTGTCAGTAGTACACCCTACAGTAATAACCGCTTTATTGTTTCATCTATCCTATTTTGATTGTCTTTTTTTGTGTAGGATTTTAATGGAGAAACTCCCTTACACTTAGCTGTCAAATCAAAAGAGGAAAAACTTGTCAAATTATTGATTAATGCACCTCAAATCGACTGTAGCATACGTGATGCTCATGGTCATACTGTATTTCATGTTGCTGTTGAATTACGCCAACGTATAATTGCAGAAATGTTAATTAAGAAAGATCCTTCATTGGCTCTTCAAGTTAGTTTTATTCACTATTTGAGTGTTATTAGTATTCCTTTGAGTTTCTAGTGGAACACAGGACTACAGCAGCACATCTTTATTTCACCCGGTTCTCTGCAGTCATTTTCATCCTGGCTCGTCGATCGTCCATAAACTTTCATTTCCTCTTTATAGTATAACGACAAAGGCCAGGCTACAGTTCGTTTATTGAGTAAATCAACAGGTATTTATAGATTTTTACATACGTTATTGTTAGCTGAGAAGCAACCTCTTTTGATTGGTTGTTTTCCTGCTGAAGGTTATTCTCTTATCTCTTTGTGGCTGTTTCTCAGAAAATCAAATCATATATATCTGCGAATCATATTTCCACACGTTTAACTCCGGTGTGATTGGCTGATGATTTTCCCAAGGTTAAGATTTGTTATTGTTTTTCTCATGACCCTGATTCGGGACGTGAACATTAACGTAAATTGTTGTCTACAATTTTGGCATGCAGTCAGCTCTCACCACAATAGGAACCCCACTATATCACCTGAATAGACACACGGCCAACTGATCTCCTCCAATTTAGCTTCTAACTAAGGACCTGGGGCATGGTGTCACTCAGCGGCCTTCGCAGCGTATGTCCAGTCCATCTCAATTTCCTTCAGCATATTTATCGGGCGATAATAGGTTCTTGACTAGTCCGTCATATTGCACAGTTCTTTCCCAGCTTCAAACATCGTGTGGAAATTCCATATCCCTATGCTGATTTTTGCTTCCATCTAAAGGAAATACGTCAACTGACTGTCTTCCTCTTGGCTGTCATCAGCCTGCGTCATTTCGTCTCTTACGTTCCACAGAAAAAAGTCTTGTTTTTGTATTATTTTTCCGTGGTTTGAGGTTTATGTAGCAACCGGATTGATTTTCCCTGGTAGGGGCCGTTATCCCCATGCCGGATTTTCCTTCATTTTCCAGCCCTAAGACCGGCTGGTAAACTAGTCGAAATTTTTGCTGTTTACAATCATTTCATATTAATAATTTAGAGTGTTGTTTCTACTTTTTGTAGCTACATGTAACTAGGTAGTATCTTTACCTGTAATATTGGTGCATTTTTGTTCACTGTGCTGGAGGGACTAATTTTAGTTGCACTCCTGAGACATCCAATTAGGTACAAGGTCATCAGTAAGGATGGTTATTACATTCCTAGAGAATTCTTTAAAGTTCCCTTCATGTTGAAGTTTACACTGAAGGCATTTGTATCTATACTGTTGAATAACTGAAAGAAGAGTTTTATTACTTTCTAGATGAATGGAGTTAATTTTTCAGGAATTTAGTGATGTATTGCTTTTCACTGACTGACTGAGTTTCCACCATGGAACATTGTACAGAAGTTGCAACACTCCATACAGCATACAAAGGTAGGGTAAGAGAAAAATATATTGATTAGAACTATAATGAGCGGAAATATAGGGGGAAAAGAATACATGGAGAAGCAGGAAGATTTAATTAATCTAGGAAATCACATGAAGCGAATGTATCTGCGCCATTGAGAACGATTCTTAGTCCTATGACCAACAGTTTGAAGTCTTTGGTTCGTATAATCCCTAGGACCGCAGTAAGTATGACAGTCTGCAACTCTGTATGTGCCTCAAATCAACAGTGACGGACTTCATAGATCGATGCCAAGTTTTTGTTTATCCACGACTAGCTCTTTTCCAACCTGATCTTGTGTGAGCTAAGATTGCCTGTAGTGCGGTAGGCGATAGTTGGGCATGTTTAACACATGGTCTAGTCGTCTCAATCGATATAGCTTCACAACCTCATCGATTGATTTTCCCTCACTACCTAACACTGTACTTCTAACCTGAATTTTACTCACGATATTATACCATCTGACACGAAGGATAGATAGCAAACACCTGTAGTCAAGAGTAGCTAGCCTCTTCTGGTCTTTCAACGGCTAGAGAGAACTGGTTAATACTCAGTGCCACCATTCTTATTTACTTTCATTATAGATATACTGATAGATGTACCCCTAGTAGAATAATGTTCCAGAGACTGGCCTAGGGGGGGGAGGAAGTCTCCTTGATCTGGAATACGCAGATGATATAACCATTTTAGTTGAATACACTGAAAAAAATCGGACTCTCGAACACCTTAAGCAAATGACCTGTCTCCAGTAGGCCAGTCTACACCTTACTACGTGGTTGAAACCAGCAGTCAATGGCTTCACCATGCATTGATGCCGTGTTTTGTATTGTTTATTCTTGGAAACTCTTATTCACTTTTGTGTTAATTTTTATAAATTCATTGTGTTTATGAAGATTATCAATGTATGTATCTTTAATACCAACTTTTATTTTTTACTTTTATGTTAATAGGTTGATACTGCGGGACGTAATTTTCTTCATATTGCTATAGAAAATATGGATCGTGAAGCAATTTTCTTACTTATTCAAATTGGTGTTGATATGAATGCTTGTGTACGGGATGTATATCGGTTAACACCCTTCCATTTAGCTATAAAAACTGGTGTCGAAGAAGATATTCTACTCAGTTTGGTAAGATAAGCTCAATTATTATTATTATTGTTTTCCGCTGTTTTTAATTTCATTTTATTCACTTCTAATGTTTTAGCTACTAACTAAAAATGAGTAGTCACTTGCTTTTTCAGTAAAAAAAATGAATACCATACTGCGTACGTGTTACTGTATAGCGGCATCGAATGTCTTGCGTACTATAGTGTCAATGAGAAAACGAGTGGTACCTTGATGTTGTGTGGCATAGGTTAATATCTGTCTGTGAGGAGAGTGTAAAGAAAGTATATTACACTAATCAGCGCACCACTCGAAACAATCATTTGATGTCCATTGTCTTCATTTTTGTTTAATTTGATCATAAATTTATCGTTAGATATAATGACTTCAGGGGCTGACTTGTTACTAGGTGATAGTTTCATCTGTTTGGAGTATACGGACGATATTTTCCTTCTAGGTGGAGACGCTGACAAAATGCAGAGTATTCTGAACAGAGTGAGCATAAATCTTCAAATGCTCGGCATACGATTCGCTTCGTTCAAATATAAGATGCTGCCGCAGGATTGGACTGCACTGACTCTAAGTTTTGTAGATAGGGAGTGATGAAGTGGTAGAGAGTGTTGACTACTTTACTTATTCATGAAGTTGCGTCAGCTCTAATGAACTGATTACTGATAAGGTCTCAGCACGGATACAGAAGGTTTGAGTGGCATTTGCCAACTTACTTCATCCCTGGTGCGAGCTAATTGTATTACCCAGTTGACTAGACTTAAGTAGGTAGGAGTGGGATTATGAACCTGGAACCCATTTTCTAATAGTCGAATGCTTAAGCCACTGATTTACGTGTCTTCATGGTGCATAGCCCTACTTGGTGACCAAACACAGCGGGATCAAATGAACAACACCTCTATTATCTGAACTCAAAATTCTTTTGGTTTAAGAGTGTTAGTTAATGTATCTTTTTTATCTGTCTAGACTAGAGTGTGTATCATCTCAGGATATTTATCAGTTTAGCAATCCACTAAATCACCAAAGTAGTACTAGACATGAAAAAGCAAACCGTCTTTGACCACAGATGTTTTTCAGTCATCTCCCTGTAGTGGCATATAGTGAGTAATATTAAGGTTAGGCTTTTAGTGTTTTCTAAGGAGGCCAAGTCAGTAGAGACGGGGTTGTGAAGCTACATTGATTGAGATGGCTAAGTTACATGTTGCGGCTGTCGAGTCACCACCTTCCTAGTCGTGCAATATTAGCTGACATAAGATTAGAGTAGAAAGGAGTTAGGCTTGGTTGGAGCAATACCTAGCATCAATCCCTGAAGTGTTTGACCATTGTTTTAAGCTGCATGCCTAATTGGAGTTCTCGAAACTCTAAGAACCATTGGTTAGAAATCGTTGTCACTGCTGCCTACGCATCCTTTCTCTACGGACTCCTAGATGCATTAAATTCTCTCTAGTCTTGTTGCTGTTTCTTACTGACATTTTTGTTCATTGTGGCGCCTTTGTGTTTTTTTTAAATTTTTCTCTACCTTTGTGTGCTATAAATGTGTTAATTAGTCAATCAGTCCATCAGTTTTCTGAGCCTCTTGTTTTCTATTTGTGGTAGCACATATAATCATGATATGTTATTGTTTCCTTGGGTTCCAAGTGGTAGTGCTCGGCTTCAGTAGCATGCCTCCATATAATCCTGTTTTCTGCTGTCCTCTTTAGCTGGTCCTAAAATTGCCCAAAAGATTTCACCTCCTCCTTCTCCTCATCCTCCTCAAACTATCTCCTCCATAACATCTTCGGAACTCTGAGTCGTCGTTTCCCATTCGGGTTCCACTCGATGTTCTGTCTTGGGCGAGATATGACTCACCAATCTTCTCAGCGTGTGTTCGGTCTATCTTCATTACGTGTAGCGTATTTTTAAGGTGATTAGTTCTTGGTCGGTTCGTTCCCTGAGTTTCTTGTTGTTTATCCTTTGTAGCCATTTGATCTTCAATATTGAGCTAGTGATATCCGACTATCGACCAAAGGGCATGTGTACTGCTCGTCAATCCTCTCCGTCCTCCTTTATGGCTGTGAGACCTGGACATTGAAAGTGAAAGACATAAAAAGATTAGCTGTCTTCGATCATAGGTGTCTGCGTTCTATCTCCCGTGTGAAGTGATATAGTAGGGTGAGCAATTTTGAGGTTAGACGTCGAGTGCTAGATAATGAGAGGAAATCAATAGACGAGGCTGTGAAGCTACATCGACTGAGATGGTTAGGACATGTGTTATGTATGCCTAGTCATCGCCTTCGTCGACGGGAAATGTTAGCTGACATACCCTTGATCAGGCTGGAAAAGTGCTAGCGGCGGTCAAACCAAAACATGGCACCAGTCAATGAAATCTACAACAGTTAGTTTAAGCCAGCCAACCACGTAGGAAGGTGTAGACTTCCTGACTGGTTGGGGTCCTCGGGACAGTAAACACCAATGGGTGGAGGTAATTGGTGACATGGCTCAATATCATTCTCAATGGCTAGTGCAGATGCATCCACTCCTTGTGACTTATGATTTCCAATTAAACTGTTTTGTTCTTCGTTATTACTATTCCTTTGTCTCACACCTCTGTTTACTGTCTCTAATAATATATTTATGCTACTTTCTTCTCTTGCTTTGTGTGCTACAAGGACTTGAACTGCCGCACATATGTGCAAAGTTCTTTGTCGAAAATAGACAGACAGACAGCACATACTATCATGATATATTATTGTTTCCTTGCGTTCCGAGTGGAGCTTTCGGCTTCAGTAACATACCTCCATTTCATCCTGTTGTCTGCTATCCTCTTTAGCTGGCCCTAAAATTGCCCATAAGCTCTCACCTCCTCCTCCTCTTCATCTTCAAGCGATCTCCTCCATAACATCGTCGTCGTCTCCCATTCGAGGTTCACTCGAGAAAGAGATGACTCACCAATTCCCTGAGTTCCTTGTTGCTCTTCCTTTCTAGCCATTTGATCTTCAGTATCGAGCTAGTGAAGACAGCTGTTGATGAAAGTCTACAAATAGCCTACCTGTTCGAAATGTTCTTTTTTCGTGACACTCGTGTGAATTCTCTGAACTCCACAGAATCACTGACTGACTTACTGGATGGACATTGGTGTTGCAAGTCTGAATCTTGTTCTTCAATACTCTGATTGCCCCAGATTCTCCATACTGATTTCAGATTATGTGTACACCTTATGATTATTGTTGGAAATGTGTGAACAGATGTCATGTTTTCTTCTTGTTTGTTTGGTTTTTGATTTTTGCATTAATTCATTCATCATCACGGATTGTATCGATCAGTCGTAGCTTTGCATTTCATTATTTCATTATTTATTTTTTTTTTGTTACGCAATTACATGTATGTATATAAGTCGTAACAATATTATGTGTGTCTAGTCTACGCATTGATTAATTGGTAATTTAAGAAGAGGTGTTGATTTCATTATTATTACAGATTTAACAAAAAAAGGTGTAGAAAATAGCTTGTAACTGTGCAAAGACTTAGCTAAAGATGTGTACAGTTTATGTCTATGCTTTTTGGTTACGACATCTGTTACGTCGAGTAATATTGTTAGCTGACATAGGATTCGATTATAAAAGAGTTATTATTATTATTGTTCCCTTGGGTTCCTAGTGGAACATAGGGCTTCAACTGCACGTCTCCACTTGCTTCTGTCTTCTGCTGTACTTTTCACCTGCATCCATGTTAGTCCATACTGTTTCAACTCCTCTTCACACGATCTCCTCCATGTCACCCTTGGACGTCCCACTCACCGCTTCCCTTTCGGGTTCCACTCGAGCACTGGCCTGACGCGCGATGTCACCCAGCGAGTGGCCTCCTCAGCGAGTGTCCAATCCATCTCCACTTTCTCCTGCATATTTGTTGGGCGATTGGTTCTTGTTTTGTTTGTTCCCATAGTTTCTTGTTGGTGATTCTTTCCGGCCATCTGATCTACAGTATAGAACGAAGAATAAGAATAGTAGATATAGTATAGTATAGTAGTAGTAGAATAGTATTCATCTTCTCAAAGTAATCCGCTTTGTTCATGATGACCACTCCTGAGCCCTTATCCGGTCTTGTTATTATTATGTTATCATTTTTACGGGGAACATCCAGAGCTTCCCTATGTTTTTTGGTCAAAATACTATCATTGCATGGCAAATAGCGCACTAACCCAGGTTCGAATCCTGGCAGCGACACTATAAATGTAACAACAGAAGACAAGGGCCAGGCAACAGATCGGTTATTAAGGAAATCAACACATATTTATAGCTTTTCATGTACATTATAATAGATTTTTGTTAGCAGACAAACACAGTCTTCTGATTGGTGGTTGTTTCTCACTGAAAGTTAATCTTTCATCTCTTTGTGGCTGTTTCTTGAAGGTGAGATCATCTATCTGCTAACTGTATCCGCCTACGCAAAGTCTGCTGTGGTTGGTTGTTGAGTCAGTCTTTGTTCTTGTTCTTTTCTCATGACCAATATTGAGGACGTAAACATTGACGTAAATTACACTGTCTACCTATTTGGCTAGCAGCCAGCTCTCAGCACATGTAGTGAATTGATCGGTTATTTATCGGTTTCCCACTAACAGTTGACTAGTGAACAACTTTGCTTTAGAATCTAAAGTTCCTGATTCCGTCACTGATCAATCATCATCAGTGGCTTTTACTCTTTTTGTAACATGATGTCAGTTTGTAAGTGTGAGGTTTAACATGAAGTAAAAAAAAGAAAGAGAAGGAAGGTAATTTGTTCACTTGATTAAACTATTGCATATAATGCATTCCTACTAGTCTTAGAACAGAATGATCTATAAAGATGTTGTACTGTTATCAGACAATGCAACTTTCTTTGTGTTAGAAAAAATTGTTGTAAGGCAATTTATCATCCCTGCTGGATTCGTATTTCTCTCTCGCAGCCTGACAGATCTTAGTTACCGGTTATATGATATTAGCAAAAGACAGACGGTTGTAATAATAATAATAATAATAATAATAATAATAGCAGTAATTAACAGACAGTAACTTTAAAGTTCTGAAATACAATTCTGTTCAATGTTGAATTAAATAATAAAGTAAAAAAAAAAGAAATGAAAAATGATTCTACAGGAAAACTATGCTATCATACCATATGGATTTTTCATCACTGGATGATAAATTACTCTACGCCAATTCTCTCTGTTGTGTAGAGATGAAAATTCTACTCTACTGTCTGATGAAAATGCTTTGTGTATGTCATTGTATTTTCGTCAACTAGTGTGTTGTATGAATGAATAAATTATTATTATTATTATTATTGTTCCCTTGGATTCCTAGTGGAACATAGGGCTTCAATTACACGTCTCCACTTGCTTCTGTCTTCTGCTGTACTTTTCACCTGCATCCATGTTAGTCCATACTGTTTCAGCTCCTCTTCACACGATCTCCTCCATGTCACCCTTAGACGTCCCACTCGCCGCTTCCCTTTCGGGTTCCACTCGAGCACTGGCCTGACGCGCGATGTCACCCAGCGTCCTCCTGCTCAGCGAGTGTCCAATCCATCTCCACTTTCTCCAGCATATTTGTTGAGCGATTGGTTTTTGTTTTGTTCGTTCCCATAGTTTCTTGTTGGTGATTCTTTCCGGCCATCTGATCTTCAGTATAGAGCGAAGACAGTTGTTGATAAAGGTCTGCAACAGGCTGTTGGAAATATTCTTTGTGACCCGCCAAGTTTCTGATCCGTATAGAAGAACTGACTTGACTGACGTTTGTATTGAAAATCCGAATTTTGTTGTTGATGCTGAGTTGAGTGACGAATATTTCCAGATTGGTTTCAGGTTGATGAATGTGTTTCTCGCCTTCCCGATTCTCGATTTGACATCCTCGTCCGTTCCTCCTGTAGTTGAGACAATGCTCCCTAGATAAGTGACTGAAGTAACCTCTTTCAAATCGCTCCCGTTGATGGTGATTGGTGCTGGATGTTGCTGCTGTTGTTGTTGTTGGTTGGTTATTTTCATAACCTCCGTCTTGTCTATGTTCACCTGGAGTCCTGTCTTTGCTGCCAGCTTCTTCGACCAGTTTGTCGGTTTTCGCTTGTAAGTCTTCGATTTTGTGTGACATCAAACATAAATCATCCACGCGAAATTCAGGTCTTCTAGGTTCTTCACGTTGGTCCAGGATATCCCTGTCTTCTCGTTTCCCACTGTCTGACGCATAATCCAGTCCACCATTGCAGACATCTATCTATTTTGACTGTTTACTTCATTACAACAGTTGTTGTATTTCATTTCTATTAGTTTATCATTCTCCCTTTTTTGTTTTTGCTATTTCGTCTTTCCCCGCTTGGTGTTGTGTTTAGCTTCTTGCCGGTGCATCAATTAATTCACAGACACCACAAAAACAGTATGGCCTGCACTTAGCTGTGATTTACGATCGACCTAAATTAGTACACTGTTTACTAGAGAATGGAGCTGATGCAAATGCTCAAGATTCAGAGTTGAATACACGTGAGTTTATTCTGTTACCCGCTTTTTTTACTATTTGTCATACTGTCGTTCATATTATCATTCTAAATAAATGCGCGTACCTAGTTGTTTAAATTAGTTTTGTATTTCGCGTCGTTTCGACCGATTACGGACGCTTTGACGATGTCTGAGGATCGATTTTGATGTTATTTGGTAGATGGTGAGTAGCTTTGGCGTTTGAAATGATGGGTGCTGTGTTTGAGTCTCATTGGGGACACTGTCACTTACTGAGGATTGCAGGTACATCCATCCAGATGACGAGTCACAAATAGTACGAAATACTAGTCACCATCCACTACATAACATTTACTGGTACGTATTTGATTTTATTTCTTAAAAAAGTGAAGATACTCTGAAATAATTGCCAGGATACTGGAACCATATCCGGAATAGATATCGCGCATGAACCCAACATAACCAATTCATTCAATACTGTGCATAACAAAAGACTTGACAACCGGCGTAGACAAGATCAATATCATCTGCTGCAAGATAAATGGTATCAGCTGTGTATAAACACTCCTTCGACTTCTAACCGTCATAAGACTGGACATGTATTCCTTCATAATAAGACATTTAGACGACTCTAGACACCAGTGTGACGTAGACAATGTACTGGAATTACCAGAGAACTCCTAGAAGCTTGTCAATTGAATTGATCGTCATTCAGCAGACATGTTCATTCACATAGATGAAATCCGCCAGTAAGTAAACAATACACTACATGACAGAAAGGTCAAATACTAGGTCATCAAAACGATTGTTACTCATGCAGATTAAAGCAACAATAAGAGAACTTCTGAAGACAACTAATCACAGTCAAAGTTATCAGGAGGGATAGTCAGATTATTGATGACTTCACTTTTGAGTAATCTCTGAAAATGTTGTCTAGCAGAGAAGCACAGTGAAAGCTTCGTAATTAAATCACTTGGCTCAGAGAACACAACCACATACCGAAAACAGTCATCTAAGCTTCAAATGTTATGGACTGTTTTAAAGTAGTCGGTATGTTTGTAGTCTACCGTATATTTTGTTAAAGTGCGACTTATTGTTTCAAGCGCTAGACTTTCAGATAATGGTTCCGTGGTTCGATTCTCACTCCACTGATAAAGCCTAACCAATAGTCGCACAGTTATTGTGCCTCATAGTCTAACATCTGCGTAATGTAATCCAGATAGTTGAGTTCTAACAAAAACAGTATTCCGCATATCCTTTGTGCTAAGGGATGAGTTCACCATAAAATATAAAACAAGCAACAAAGCAGGTTAATAAAGCAGGATTTAATGAATTCATCAAATTTCGGTAGAACTCGTCAGCTGAATACTCTACATACACGGATATATATACTTTTGAAATTACATTGGGAGATATAAGACTGATAAGCAAATAAACTACATTGAATTAGTCATGCAGAAAGACAGGTGCGAATGTTCTCCAGGTCATGTTCAAATAGATAAGGAGAGAGGGGGTATGAGAGATCAAAATTAAGATAAATTGCATTACGCTTCAATTACATCACTTAGATAAACAATTAGTCATTAGAGAATATAACAAGAATTGCAAACAGAGTGATATCAATAGTAATAGTTATAATAATAATAATAATAATAATAATGTTGAATTGAGTTAAGATAATCCTACTGATAAAGGATAGTTTTAAATGAATCAAGAATAATAATAATAAGAGGTAGAATAATAAGTAAAACGTATTACCATGGTAGATTCAGAGTGACGACCACTTCCTTTTGTACACAGAGACCTGGTTTATAAACTCGAATTGCACAAGCCTCTGCAATTGCAAGCATCTTCTTGTTTCTTTGTCTGCTGACAATAGTGAATGACTTGACAGCGTCAATATCATGTCCATAGTCCACAAAATGTTTTGTTATTGAGGTTTTTGGCACTTTGCATTCAGCTGTTTTCAACCATTTTGGTAAATGCTCCGTCATGCGAGTAGACAATCGCCTTTCTGTACGACCTATGTATTTGCTTCACAAACACACTCAAATTGATATACGCGGCAGTTTGAAGTATCGAGGAAAGGAAATTATTCCATGCACTGAATTTAAATCGTAGTGTAACAACAGAAGACAAGGGCCAGGCAACAGATCGTTTATTAAGGAAATCAACACATATTTATAGATTTTCATGTACATTATTATAGATTTTTGTTAGCAGACAAACACAGTCTTCTGATTGGTTGTTTGTCACTGAAAGTTAATCTTTCATCTCTTTGTGGCTGTTTCTTGAATGTCAGATCATCTGTCTGCTAACTGTATCTGCCTACGCAAAGTCTGCTGTGATTGGTCGTTGAGCCAGTCTTTGTTCTTGTTTTTTTATGACCAATATTTGGGACATAAACATTGACGTAAATTACTGTCTACCAATTTTGGCTAGCAGACAGCTCTCACCACAGTAGTATTTCACCCATCGTGGTCATCAATGATCACTCTGATTTACACTTCTTGTAATTTCCAATTAGACTGTGAAGTAATTAAGTTCTAGCTAGATGTAGCTTGTGCTTTTAAACTTTACTGTATCGTTTCAATCTACAGGCGGCACAGATAAGGATGTCAAAGCCGACCTGGATCAGAAAAGCGAAATAAACATTCATTGCTCTGAAATCAGGGTGGAAATCTGTTGCATTCAGTATAGGGAAGAAGATCTGGATCTTCAACATTCATATCAAGTCACTGTTTCCATATAACTAGAAGACTTAACGTGTAACGAGAAGCGTCTCCATCAGCCTGCTGCCGACTTTCATCAACAGCTGCTTTCACTGGCTCGATACTGAAGGTCAGATGTCCTGAGAGGATAAGCAACGATGAATCAATAAAGAACTTACTGCTAAACAAATATGCTGAAGGAAATGGAGATGGATTGTACATAGGTTGAAAGGACTGTTGAGTGACACCACGCGTCAGGCAGCTCCTCGAGTGGCACTTGAATGGAAGACAACAAGTTGAGAGTGGGTTTGAGGTTGACATGAAGGAGATCATATGGAGAGAAAATAAGAGCTTATGGGCAATCGTGAAGCCGGCTAAAACGGACTGCAGAGAATAAGATGAAATTAAGATGTGCTACTGAAGCCCTGAGTTCCACTCAGAACCAACCGTAGGAAACAATGATGATAGTATTTCGTCCGCGATTTTCCGTTTATATTTGTGATTGCTTGATATATCTAAGCCGAGTCGAGCAGTCTCATTATGATTTATGGATTACTTGACTGAATGCCTTTATATTAGCAAGATTAACAATCTCAAGTTGATGAAGAGTCTTAAGTTGGACGAAACACGCCTACTTCTATTCAGTTATTAGCCACAAGCAACTTCGAGTTAGTTTGCTTGTGTGTGTTAGGGTTGGATACTTAGAGCAGTTATCAGGCTACTTATACATGTGGTCAGATGGTATCTGAATGGAAATGCTGAAATGTTACCCAAGAACCACATGGACTTCCATGCAGGTATCAGTGAGTAAGGGCTAATAGTGTGGTGAGAGCTGTCTGCAAGCCTAAATTGTAGACAACAATTAACGTCAACGTTCACGTCCGGAATCGGGGTCATGAGAAAAACAATAACAAAGCTTAACCTTGGGAAAATCACCAGCCAATCACAGCGGAGTTGAAGTGTGGAAATATGATTCACAGATATATGGCTTGATTTTCTGAGAAACGTCCACAAAGAGATGACAGAATAACCTTCAGAAAGAAAACAACCAATCAGAAGAGATTGCTTCTCCGCTAACAATAACGCTAATAATAATGCACATAAAAATCTATAATTACCTCTTGATTTTCTCAATAAACGATATGTTGCCTGGCTGTTGTCTTCTGTCGTTAAAATGGTACTATCTAGTTGCCTGAACCTCTCTTGATGGAGTAGAGGGGAGGGTTTGGATCTGAGACCCAGTAATTGGCAGTTGAGCGCGTAGACCAATGAGCCACAGCTTGATATTAGTTGGTTGTTACATTGAAAATGTATTGCATGAGTTGTGTTTATAGTTTCTGTTAAACGTATGCAAAATTGTTCTTATTCTCTGTCTTTTCTTCCATTTTCCCTATAATTTTCATTTTTGAATACGATCAGCACTGCACTTAGCAGTTCGACATGGAAGAGTGGAGTGTCTTGTTAAACTTCTTAGTCATTCAGCAACAAATTGTTGCAGTGTAAATATCAGGTTAGTTTAATTTTGAGAAAAAAAAGTAATCAGAAGTTTTGTAAGCGTTTTTAAAATTCTTTCTTAACTTACGGTATCAAAAATTACCTTGATATTTTGAAGTCAAATTCGCAAGTTTAAAAATGATACAGTTTGAGGTGAGAATTCACCACTGTTTCGTTTTGATGAAGAGCAAACTAATTCAGATCACAAAATGTGATCTGCAATGTTGAGTTGAGAAGTCCAGCTTATTGGCAGTCTCATTGAGTTGATAACAGCGTTTTTGAAGTTGCTGTCATTTTCTGCAGTCGACCTGAAATTCCCAGTTTTCTGTGAGTCTCAGCTTGGTGAGTGCTACTTTTAATCAGGATACAAGTAGTATATCAGTGAACGAACCCAGAAAAATAACAGTGTGTTTTGGGACACGGGAAAAAGCAGTTGAAAAACAGAACTGTGAGAGGAATATTTGAAACACTGTGCAGAATCCAGCAAGATATCGAATGTCGTGATATTCAACCATATAATAATAATAATAATAATAATAATAATAATAATAATAATATCCTTTAGTTCCTAGAGGAACACAGGGCTTCAGCCACACGTCTCCATTGCGTTCGGTTCTCTGCCAACGTTTTCACCTAGCTCCACGTCTGCCCACATGCTTTCATCTCCTCTTCACATGACCTCCTCCATGTCACCCTCGCACTGACGACCAACTCCCAGCTTCCAATTAGACGTCCACTCGAGCGATGGCCTGACGTGTGATGTCACTTGATGGTTTGATTTCTCAGAGTATGGCCAATCCACCTCTATTTCTTCCTGCATATTTGTTGCACAATCGATTCCTGCTGGGTTGGTTTGCTGGTTGTTAGAGATTCCTGTTGCTGATCTTTCCTGGCCGGTCATCTGATCTTGGATAGTATTGAGCGAAGACAGCTGTTGGTGAAGGTGTGTAGTTTGTTCGAAGTGCTCTTCATGGCGTGGCGCTAAGTCTCTGATCCATAAAGTAGCACTGACTTCACATTGGAGTTGAAAATCCGGATCTTATTTTTCATGCTGAGTGCTGTTTACCTCCACACAGACTTGGTAGTAATGAAGGCTTGTCTTGCTTTCTCGATCCTCGCTCTGATATCCTCATCAGTTCTTTCCGGTTGTAGTTGAAACGATGCTTCCCACGTAGGTAGATAGGTATGTAGGTAGGTAAAGGAGATTGCCTCTTTCAGATTTCTCCCATTTTTACTGTTTGTTGTCTGTTGTTGTTGCTGTTGGCCAGGAATCTTCACCACCTACCTCTGTTTTCTCTATGTTCACCTGAAGTCCTCTCTATCTTCCGTGGCTTTTTCTGCCAACTTGTTGCTTTTCACTTGCAAATCTTCCATTTTGAGGGAAATGAGACACATCATTGGTGAAGTCCACATCTTCCAAGTATTTTGTGTGTGGGTCCATTTTATGCCTGTTTCCTCTCTGCCCGCTGTCTGTCGCATTATCCAGTCTACCGCAGTCAGGAAGATCATTGGAGATAGTAGGCAGCCAGCCTTGTCTTAATCTCGTCTTCACTTCAAAGGATTCAGTGAGTTTCCCGTTGTGGATTACTTGTCGTAGAGCATTGTCGTACAACTGTTGAATGCGACGTATAATTGTTGTCAGCACTGATATTCTTCCAGTGATGTGCAAATAAAGCTTTGAAGATAGGGTATACCGAATTTATTTATCTACCTGCAATGCGTTTGTCTTGATGAACATTGCCTTCGAGCCTTCATCGGTTCTTTCTTGTTCACCATAGGAAGAAATCTCCAGTTCCTTGAAGACGAAGTTATTTTTCACACTTGAAGGCCTTCATCAATGGTTTATATGTTAATGCTTAGGTTGGTGGTAGTAATTAATCAATTATCACTTGTCTTATTTTTTCTAAGTTTGTCAAACCGTTATTTATTTTTTGTTTGACCTTGAAAAAAGGAGAGTTTTTGTTTTTTACTTTTTAGAGGTCAATTACCAATTCACCTGTTGGCTAATCATCATGGTTCAATTGGTGTTGAAATGCTTCAAAACTTATTAGAACTATCAGTAACCAATCAGATTAATGCTCAAGATGCAGCCGGCAATACTCGTAAGTACTGAAGATTTTTTCTGTACTTAAAATATTAGTTTCTTTTTAGAAAACCCTAATTATCAATTATATTCAGTTAATTATATTAAGTATATACCAATTCACATGTATCTGTGGGAGAAGTCATTTTGGAAGAACAGATAGAGAGGGGCCTATGTCGGATGATTCTTCGGACATGTACCAAGGAGCTTCCGGTTATAAGGACTAAACAGTTTAAGCTCTTCAATTACTAAACACCTGAGAGACACAGAACACCGAGTAGACGCGTTGGCATCTGGCTGATTCTTCGGGTACCTGAAACAGAGAGAGGGTTAGTGTTGCGTGACCGCAGAGCCCAGGGGACAACTGCTTGAGGTCGGTCACACACGGCCTGTATGAACTGGTTTCTTGGTTTGGTTCCGTATTAGTAAACTTACCGCCGGTTACGGACCACCGTAGGGTAAGTCGGGATGTACAATTTTTGGGGTCGACCTTTTCTAACCCCCTCTCTCCAGAGTGGAGATACAGCATAGCTGGCATGCTGGTCATCTGAGGGAAACACCTCACTGCTGTTACACCCCTGTTCCCCAGCAGTACGACTTCGCCCACAGACCCAGCATAGTTAGAAAGATTCTTACACTATGCGGGTAACTGCTTTTAGTCTAATCGCTATCCTGACAACCTTCCTGGCATGGTAGGACCTGCAGGAATATTGGTTCCAGCCAGTGTAGCTTGTTGGGTCATCGCGATGTACAAGCCCGATCACCACGTCAAGATAGCAGCTATCGGTCGGACGCGTTGGCATCATTCAAAATAATAATTAACGGACAAAATAACTCAAGTCTTCTTCGGTTCGCTAAGGCTATCCCAATAAAACGGCTGAAACTTGACCTATGTGTCTAAAAGGAATCTGTCGTTGGACTACAATGACCCTGTTGACTCATGCCGTAATAACTCTTTGTTTTCTAATTTGATTAACTGATCTTTTTTCTGTCTGACTTCCATAAGAGTTAATTCTTCTTGACCTTATGACATTACATCAGCATATTTTCATTCAACCCCTTGCACAACACATCATCTCTTATCTAACTACGTAATTATTACTAGTTTTTGTTATCACCCTAACAACAAACTTGTCAGTCAGTTTTCCAGAAACTTCTGTCTAACAAGATATATATTTACACTGTAGTACTTCAGCTACCCCTTGTCATCCTGATGTTTTATCTCACTACGACACTTATACTATGCTTGTTGATAGACAAAAGTATGTAAGGATTAGTTTTGTTTTTACGATGATTCCCAAACTAGGATGAAACAGCTGTCTGTCCAGTACTCCATGCTGGTTTTCAATGGTTCTCTAACTGATATCAATCCGTGATCCACTCGTAAAAACAAAACTAATCCTTACAAAACAAACTATAGAAAATTAATCTGATGCTCGCTAGTGACTTGCTACAGGATGGAGTTTCCTGGAGTTCTAGTGAGAAGTTGTGACCAGTGAGGTCCATCCAGTCAAGTGTGAGGATGGATTTCCCACCGATGACATTGGTTGGGGTCGCGCTGAATCACGAATTGGTAGAAGTTAGAATTCATGGGCTGGCCATTGAATCGGGTGGGTCCCAGTGGCTGAATGGTATACGAGCCAGCTTGCCTTGTAACCGGAAGGTCCTGAGTTCGAACCTTGGTGGTGGGTGCGTACTGACGATGATTCCCAAACTAGGATGAAACAGCTGTCTAGTACTCCCTGGTTTTCATTGGTTCTCAGACTGATATCAATCCGTGATTAACTCGTAAAGACAAAAGTATGTTAAATTTTACGCTGACTTAAATTTATTAAAGATTATAGGTTGTGTGCGGCTGATGAGGACAAACGAAATAAAATGGATCCATGTTATTCTCTACTCGTATTTATAAAAGGGAATTCTTGTATGAAATATTAAGTTCTAATGGGAAGACCTAGCCATTGGTCTCCGACCAATTCGGGCGTGAAGCGGATTCTCGTTGACTGAATTTATCACCAGTAGAGGTTATTTCATTATGAAGTAGAAAAATTTCGCGATGAGGTTGTCACCAGACCTGTAGATGAAAGCCCAACGACCACATACCAAAGCATGAAGAACAACATTACATAACTTTTTCCTTAGCTACAAATTTCATCTTTTGTTTCACAGTTTTTCTAATCCTCATTCTTGGGCTGTGTGTGTGTTTTCATTCTTCGCGTTTCGAGTGGAGTATAGACGGTCAAGCTTTAATATTTGAAGCTTCAGCAGTCGTGGTAGTATTGCTTCCATAGGGTGTGATTACTAGTTTTAAGTCCAACTCTTCCTCTTTTCTTGGCTAACTATCTACCAGTAAACTAGGATTGCGTTGGCTGGGGTTCGAACTCCGGACCACATGTGTGGTTAACGAGTATTCTATCACTAAACCATCATCATCTTCACTGCGTATGGTTACTGAACTGTGATTTTCTGTTTTTCTTCTGTTTTTTTCCTTTCTTTAGCATTACTTTTAGCCTATCAAGCTGAAAATATACCCCTGTGCATAGCTTTACTTCATGCTGGTGCTTCTTTGGGAATCATGAATTCTGACGGGGATAGTGTATTTAGTTTAAATAAAAAGAAGTGTAAAAAATCATCACCTGGACGTGTTCTTTCACAGTTACTAGGTGCGTACCTCTTTTTACTTATTTAAAGAAACAGATTTTTTTCTCTCTATAACTGTGGGGAGTACTCACATTTCTCATCACATCGTTTTTTTCAGCATTATTAATGACAGATGGTGTAATAATGAAGAAAATAAAAGACAATTCAGCGAAGAAAATTTCTTTTATCGACGAAATCATCCTCAGAGGCTGTGCAGTCGTATTTATATTTACCAAAGATGCATAGTGGTCTATTATTAAGTAATAGAGGGGAGCGGGGGGTGACATAATTGATATAATTACTCAGAAGTAGCTTCAAAAGTAAAAATAAAAGTTGTAAATTACGCAGTACTCAACAGCAAAAAGGAAGAAGTGGTTAGAAATAAGGTTAAAATTGCTATTGAGTGAGAATAAAGGCAGTTGAGTGTCAATTTAACAAGTGGGAAGAGGGTGTGAAGATGTACAAAAGGAACATATAAGGAGTGGTAATAGTGAATTAATTATCAAAGTAAAAGCAAACTAAAAGTAGAATTGAAAATTAAAAATAAAAATAAAATAATTTACAGGAGACGACTGATGAAGACGTCAAGACTATGGCAGAATAAGACACTAGACAAACTTTTTCTGAGTAATTATATCATTTATGTCACCCCCCCTATTACTCAGTAATGGACTCCTATACATCTTTCTTAAGTATAAATACGACTGTACAGCCTCCGAAGGAAATCTTCTGTGAATTGTCTTTCATTTCCTTCATAACTCAATGGGTATTTTGGGTGATATATACATATATATCAGGCATAAAATGGACCCTAACGAAAAACTTGGAGGATCTGGACTTCGCCGATGATATATGTCTGATTTCCCACAAACTGGAAGATATGAACGTGAAAAGCAATAAGTTGGCACAAGAAGCATCCAGAAAAGATAGGCCTTCAGGTAACATAGAGAAAGCAGAAGTAGGTGATGAAGATTTCTGGACAAGAACAACAACAACATACAACAATCAGCATGAATGGGAGGAACCTGAAAGAAACAACCTCCTTTACCTACCTGGGAAGCAGCGTTTCAACTACAGGCGGAACTGACGAGGATATCAAAGCAAGAATCGGGAAAGCAAGGCAAGCTTTCATTACTATCAAGTCTGTGTGGAGGTCAACAGCACTCAGCATGAAAAATAAGATCCAGATTTTCAACTCCAATGTGAAGTCAGTGCTACTTACTATACGGATCAGAGACTTGGAGAGTCATGAAGAGCACTTCGAACAAACTACATACCTTCATCAACAGTTGTCTTCGCTCAATACTACTCAAGATCAGATGGCCGGCCAGAAAAGATCAGCAACAGGGATCTCTGGGAGCGAACCAACCCAGCAGGAACCGATTGTGCAACAAATATGCAGGAAGAAATGGAGGTGGATTGGCCATACTCTGAGGAAACCATCAAGTGACATCACTAGCCAGGCAATCTCTCGAGTGGAACCCGAAAGGGAAGCGGCGAGTTGGTCGTTAGTGCAAGGGTGACTTGGAGGAGGTCATGTGAAGAGGAGATGAAAACGTGTGGACAGACTTGGAGCCAGGTGAAGACTCTAGCAGAGAACCGAACGCAATGGAGACGCGCGGCTGAAGCCCTATGTTCCTCTAGGAATTAAAGGAAATAATAATAATGATACATATATATTTGAAAGTCAGCATCCTCCATGTGCTGTCCAAGGATTAATGGATTATAGTAGTAGTTAGGCTACAATAAACATTTTAATTGTAATTTTCATGAAAAATTTCATGCCTACTGACCGTGATTCGCGGTATTCCCACAACTTGACTTGGTTTCAGTCAACCAGTCCCCCCCTAGCATGACTTTACGAACTAATTTTGTCAGCAAGTATACGTGCGAATTGATGGTTAGTAGAAATAAAAGGGTTCAGAGTCCTAATTTAAGGATATTACTAAGACAGTAATTCGTAATAGTTATCAAAAGATAACAGTTCTCCATTCTCAGTGAAATATACAGATATTTTGATTTGTCACTAAGCCAATCTCAAGCCCGAATAGCTTAGTGGTAATGTCTCTGACCGTAGCACTGGGGATAGCAGCTTTTCTTCAAGGTTTAAGATTTATGCCTTGCTGATGAGTGTCAAGAAGCATAAAACCTTGTCCCAAATAAGGCTTCTTGTCGATTGCCTCCACTCATCTAACATTAGTTTGGAGTGCACCGCGATGTTAAGTCACGCGGCCAGTGTAAACGTGACTGGTACAATTCAGGTCAGCATGAACACCAAGGATCAGATGTATGCTGTTGGTTACTCCCAGGTAGCTGATCGATATTATTGACTGAAAAATAATTGTTTGAGTAAAATTTAGCTACTTTAGCACAGTGCACGGCGATAAGCTCTAAAGGGCTGACCAGTGCACTTTATATGTAGATAATAGAGCTATGGTGTATCACTGTTGTCGTGTATTACTATTATTGTTCCCTTGGGTTCCTAGTGGAACATAGGGCTTCAACTGTATGCTTCCACTTGCTTCTGTCTTCTGCTGTTTTTTCACTCGCATACATGTTAATCCATACTGTTTCAACTCCTCTTCACACGATCTCCTCCATGTCACCCTTGGATGTCCCACTCGCCGCTTCCCTTTCAGGTTACACTCGAGCACTGGACTGACGCGCGATGTCACCCAGCGGCCTCCTCCTCAGTGAGTGTCCAATCCATCTCCACTTTCTCCTGCATATTTGTTGGGCGATTGGTTCTTGTTTTGTTTGTTCCTATAGTTTCTTGTTGGTGATTCTTTCCGGCCATCTGATCTTCAGTATAGAACGAAGACAAGTTGTTGATAAAGGTGTGCAACAGGCTGTTGGAAATATTCTTTGTGACCCACCAAGTTTTTGATCCGTATAGCAGAAGAACTGACTTGACGTTTGTATTGAAATTCCGAATTCTGTTGTTGATACTGAGTTGAGTGAGGAAGATTTCCAGATTGGTTTCAGATTGATGAATGTGTTTCTTGCCTTCCCAATTCTCGATTTGACATCCTCGTCCGTTCCTCCTGTAGTTGAAACAATGCTCCCTAGATAAGTGAATGAAGTAACCTCTTTTAAATCGCTCCCGTTGATGGTGATTTGCGGTGGATGTTGCTGCTGATATTGTTGTTGTTGGTTGGTTATTTTCATAACTTCCGTCTTGTCTATGTTCACCTGGAGTCCTGTCTTTGCTGCTTCTTCGACCAGGTTGTTGGTTTTCGCTTGTGAGTCTTCGATTTTGTGTGACATCAAACATAAATCATCCACGCGCGAAATCCAGGTCTTCTATGTTCTTCACGTCTGTCCAGGATATCCCGCGTGTCGTGTAGGTCTATGTTTAATGTTTATGTATTCACTATTATCTTTTCCACAATATCTGATCTATTTATTCCCTTTTGATGCTTTTTTTTTTCCAATTTTAGATTCACTTATCCAAGAACCTCGGTGGGAAGATGGCTCTGTGTGTGTTGAATGTTGCGTTAAATTTGGAATTACTAATAGAAAGCATCATTGGTTAGTCAGTGACTGTTTAAGCCTGTTTATTTTTTGTTTGAGTTTTGTATTTCTCGTTGTTTGATTGTATCAGACCAAAATGTTCGGCTTGCGTGTTGACATATCGGCTCCTATTACAGACACTTCGATGATAATTTTGTAACTGAAACAAGCAACCTATCGTTAAACAAGAGGCGGCTTATGTCGTCCAGAGTGTGGCTTAGTAGATTAGTGCTTCACGCTTTGCAATGAAGAGTACTGGGTACGAGTCCCAATGGGAACGTCATTACTCAACTTTGGATTTCAGGTGCATCCAGATGACGAGTTCAAAACTGGGGAAAACAGGCATCTTGGATCCCAACGCTTGTCACCATCCACCATGTAACTACTTCATATCTGACGGTTCTTGGTTTTTGTGCCAATTTCTGTTAGTTGCTTAATATTTGAATTTTGAAGTATTGGTTTTGTAGGGATTTTGTTTGATTGCATGGAGGATTTCATCATGAGCTGACATCAGTTAGAGAACCACTGGACAGCTGTTTCGTCCTAGTTTGGGACTCTTCATCAGTGTGCAGTATGCTTGGTCCTGGGTTCGAATCCCGGTGGGTGCGTACTGCGGAAGAGTCCCAAACTAGGACGAAACAGCTGTCCAGTACTCCTTGCAGGTTTTCCAGTGGTTCTCTAACTGATGTCAGCTCATGATGAAATCCTCCATGTAATATTTAAATGACGCTTGATTACTGTTTGTTTTAAGTTAAGCCACTGTATTAAAACATGATTTAATAACAGATGACTCGAAGTGGAAATCCAATGTACGAGTGCCGTTTCATCTGGTCAGGCTTGTTAGCTGTAGGTAGGTATCCGACTATTTTATACTTGCTAGAGGAAATCTCTGGATGAATGGTGCAACACTGCAGTAACCATAGATTCAGGTGACTCAGTGTAAGTTGTTGTAGCAACATTACAGTTTTTCACGTTTATAGCTTTCATCAGAAGAAGACAGACCACAGATTGGTGTTGCTTTGGATTGAGCACTTCTTACTCTTTTCCAACTTAGTGAGACGTCAGCTAACAACATTGCCAGACGTCTGTCTCTGTCTGTTTTCGACATAGAACTTTGCACATATGTGCGGCTGTTCAAGTCGACACACTCCATGTAGCACACAAAGCAAGAGAAGAAAGTAGAAGAAATGCATAATATAGACAGTAAACAGAGGTGTAAGATGGAGGAATAGTAATAACGAAGAACAAAACAGTTTCATTGGAAATCATAAGTCACAAGGAGTGGATGCATCTGCGATAGCCATTGAGAACGATTTTGAGCCATGTCTCCAATCGTTTCAAACCATTGGTTTTTACCGTCTCGAGGACCCCAACCAGGAAGTCTACACGTTCCTACGTGGCTTAAGCTAACTTTTGTGGATTTCATTGACTGGTGAGCCATGTTTTGGTTTGTCCGCCGCTAGCTCTTTTCCAGCTAACATCGCCCATTGTCGAGGAAGGCGATGACTAGGCATACATAACACATGTCCTAACCATCTCAGTCGATGTAATTTCACAGCCTCGTCGATTGATTTCCCCTCCTTACCTAGCACTCGACGCCTAACCTCAATATTGACAGACGTGGAGAGCGATGTCTCAGTAGCGTGCGTAATACGTGTCCTAACCATCTCGATCGATGTAGCTTCATAGTTTTATCGATTGACTTCCTCTCCTCATCCAGCACTCTACTCCTAGACTCACTATTACTAAGCATATTAAGCTGTCTAGTATGAGAATTTGAGTGGAGATGCCAATGGTCAAAGACTACTAGCCTCTTTGTATCTTCTACTTCCAACGGTCATTTGTCACAGACGTGAAAAAGGATGAGGCGAACTTCTGCCCAATATCACATCTACACCATATGTGACGCATGTTGGGAAACGCCAAAGGAACATTTTATATTCAAGCTGAGATTTCGTTCCATAAATAAGCGAAGTGTTCAACACTCCCTATCTTTAAACTAGGTGTCGATGTAGACCAACACCACTCCTGCAGCATAGTTTTACATTTGATAGAGTAGAGTCCCGCGCCAGACATAAGATTTTTACTCCAAGTGTTCAGAAGACTGCATTCTACGTGACTGTTTCCTGGTAACAAATCAATCCATAAGTCATCTAAATCGATAGGCATTAGTATTTATGTTTTTTTTCAATCTCAGAGACTATTTTTCGTATCACAGTAAGAATTTTTTTCGACTTCTGGTAAACAGATATAACGGAGCATTGGAATCCGTCGCACCATGCAATGGTCGGGTTCGATCCCCGGCCGACGCACTCCTTTACCTCGCTAAGCCAGAAATAACGCTGGTAAAAGAGGAAAGGTTGGGCATGAGGCTAGCAATCCCATCCTGTAAAAATACAAAATGCTCAGAAACTTCAAGCCGTAGCTTGAAGCCCTATGTTCCACTGGGAACGTGAAGAATTGGAATCCGTCAGATGTAGGCTATTCTAGTTTCAGTTTTTGAACTTTATATTCTTCATCATCACTGTTTGTCATGCTTATGTCAGTGTCCCATCACAATTTCTTATGCATCGTAGATGTAAAATAGAAATTACCCTGATAAACGACCTAGTATGACTGGGGTGGTGGATAGATTTTTGTCTTGTTCTCGAAATGCACTCATGTGGCCATGCGTGGCCATGGCCTCTGCCAGGTAAGTCCTATTTCACTGCCTTCACGCGGCAAGGGTGTTCTTCCCAAAAATGAAAGGACGATCATGAATATCTAAAGGGGGAAGGGCTGGAAAGCTCTAATTCCAAGTCTTATGGTGTACACATGGGTGGGCTCCAGAATCCGAAAGGATTGAATGGCGTATAAACCTGTTTTTTGGTCACTGTCATCCATGTGAACACAGCTTCTGACGCTGCGCCACTGCTTTGTTGGTCAGATTTTAAGTCGAAGTTTCGGAGGAAGGAATGTCTTTAGGCAGCTACATGCTTCGGTCTTGGGTGTCTGGGCAGTATCCCCACCCTCGCATAAATCTTGAGACAACAATTTCACTACAGACTATATGAGGCTCATCTCTCTTGGTGACCATATTTGTCCCAACTTTGTGTTTTTAATAATAAAAATTGAAATTCAGTTAACGTTTATGCTTTTTTTAACATTCTAACTTATTTTTTAAAAAAGAGTTTTACTAATTAGTTTATACATAGTTCTGTCTTTTCCGTTTTTGTTTTCAGTCGTCATTGTGGACGTTTATTATGCTCACAATGTTCAGCTTATGAAATCCCAATTGTTAAATATGAACTATCCAAGCCAGTTCGTGTCTGTGAAGTTTGCTTCAATTTTCTTAATAATCCATTCTAGAGTAGTAGTAGTCAGTCACATTGCTATATGACAATCTGAATGTATGAATGATGTATGTGTGATGAATGTTCCCCTCCCCCCACCTCCCCCCAAATATCGATCTTTTCCTATGTATTTATGGTATAATCTAAACATTGCTCTTGTTTACCAGTGAGGCTATGAATTATGTATCTTTAGTCGATCATCTGTGATTATGATGTATGTAGAGAAGCGCGTGTTTCGAAATGTTTCATTATTTATATATAAACTGTTAATAACTGTGATTTATACTCTTCCTTATGCATTATTTATTATTGCTAATTAATATATTATGATTATTACTCATATTATTGATTTCTTTATTTGGATTTATTTCTCTATTGATTTTTTTTCTACGTGTCACAATTTGCCTGATATTATTTCTTTGATTTTGCATTTTTTTTAATCCTTGAGTTTTACTCATTCTTTGCTTGTGATTTCAATGTTTAGAAATGATTCATTGGTTCACACTCCTCTATGTTTGTGTGTGTGTGCCTGATGCAGTGTGGGAGAGGAGGGAGGGTATCACTTTCCCTTGATTTTCTCTTTTTATATGCTTTTACCAAATTTCCATATTTGTATTAATAATTACTGCTCATGTTGTGTGGGCTTATTATTTATTGATTTTGATGTGGAACGAATAGGGAATAGATTATTGGTAGTGGTGACATATTGATCAATAATGTGACAAATAAAGTGATAATGTATTTAGTAGTAGTCTTATTATCCTTGACATTGTGACACTGTGTGTGTGTGTGTGTGTGTAGGTTAAGTGGTGTTTGGGAGAAACGAAAACTCGGGGAAATCCAGTTGGGCTGTAGGCTAGGAAGACGGTGTCTTGTCCATATATTATCTTCAACTTTTTGACAGATTTTGGAACACAGGCATACTTGCCGATGTCCAACACTTGGTACGTTACTTGACCTAATAGCGGTATTTGACACCATCGACTGTGGGGAGGTGCTGTGACAATGTTTGACTGGATAGAAAGTGTCGAGGAAGTTTATCGCACGAGCGACTTCGAAACTTGAGTTTTATAGTTCTCTTTGTCCTCTCCTATTATTTGTCGTAGGGGTAGTAGAATTTTCAATAAACACCTAGCAAAATCTCGATTGGTTGATCCGAATAAGATAAGAAATCTAGAGAATAGTTCAGCTACCGCAAGCACTACATGCAATTACACACAACTATACAATAGGATGGGATAGGATGACAGTTTTAAAATCTAATGTCACAGGGTATAGGGAGAGATTGATAACAGAAGCTTTGTTTATCGAATCAACTGCAAATACATGTAATAGGAATGATTCAACATCTATCCAGTTGGATATCTGGAAAATTCTACTACCCCTACGACAAATAGGAGAAAACAAAGAAGGCTATAAAACTCAAGTGTCAAAGTCGTGTGATCACAATTGATATGATTATGAACAAAAAATTTTGTTCGAAACCTTGTCATCCAGTAAATACTAATACTGTTTCACTGTGTTATACATCTAATAAACAAACTAATATGAGTAAGAGCTTATAGAGGGTTATCATTTGAAGTGATGACAACCAGTGGTGTCTGTCAGGAATGTCCATTTTTGTTTAATTTCATCACAGATGTAATATTGGATACAACTTTAACTGTCTTCAGTGATCTAGGGATTGACTTGTTACCGGGGAACAGTCTTGTTGACGTAGTGTATAAGGATGATTTTGTCCTTATGGGTGAAGAAGCTGACAAAATAAAGTCTTCTGTACACACCTTCAGCAGAAATTTTCGAATATTTAACATACGATTTGATCCTGTCAAGCGTAAGATAATACTACTACAGGACTAGACTTCACCAACTTCTAGCTTAAAGATAGGGAGTAAAGTGGTAGAGTGTATTGACCGCTACACTTATATTTGGTTGATCGGTGACGAAATCTCAGCATGGACAAGGCAAGGCTTGTGTGGCATTTGCATCTCTGGCGTATACGTGATATCTCACTGGCTATCGGTCAAAGGACTTGTCTACTGCCCATCAATTAGCTTTATTCCCCTTTATGTTTGTGAGACGTGGCCATTGAGAGTGGAAGATATGAAAAGGTTAGTTGTTTTTGACCACAGATGTTTACATTCTATATGTTAGGTGATATAATATGATGGGGGTATATTTAGTTTAGGCATAGGGTGGTGCTAGGTAAGGACGGAAAGTCAATCGACGATGTTCTGAAGCTGCATCAATTGAGATGACTAGGAGCCATCGCCTTCCTTATCGGGCAATGGCAGCTGACAGAAATTGGGTTGGAGAAGAGTTAGAGATGGTCAAACCAAGACCTGGCATCAATCCATGAAGCATTTTACCGTTGGCTTGATGAGTAGTAATCATCTCATCATATTGTCCTGTTTAGATTCAAATTTCCCTCAGAACAACATTGATTTAAACGATATTTTTCAAAGTAAACTGACGATTGTTAATTATGTCTCTCGTGAACTTACGCGATTCATACCATTGGGTCTGTTCACTTCTTTGTAGTTCGAAGCAGTTGCAGATGGGCTAGGTATTATTTCTTTATAGCTAAGAATCTAAATGTAATGGTTGAATTCGTCCCCGAATTGATATTCCTTCAAGACTGAGGTCTCAATAATATTCTCTGACGGTTGTATACATATTACTGGTTGATAAGAGTAATTGGAAACTATTCATGTCAAATGGTAGGGCTTGCTAGTCGAATTGGAGTGATCTGAACACCGGACAGCTATTTTACTCTTTTTTTGGCTAAGCTTACTGGAGATACACCTGCATTGATTCAGCTCCCCGAACCGAATCATTTCAATCCAACCTAATTTCGCTTAGTATTATAGGCTACTGGTAATACATAGAACCGAATTCGTCATTTGTAACCTACAGGGTGCAAGGTCAGAACTCAACACAGTTGCTCTATACATCGAAAATTAGTAGCAGTTAGAATTCACGGGGCATTCATGAATTGCATCACAGTAGCCTCGCTTCTTAACTTGGACGTCCTGCATGCATTCACTGGTTGGTTCATGGGTGAGTACTGTAGAAGAGTCCCAAAACTGGGACGAAACAGCTGTCAGTACTGTCTGGTGGTTTTAAATGGTTCACTAGCTGATGTCAGTTCATGGTCTAGATAGAAATCATAAAATTGTTGCAAACCAACATCTGAAAATCAACTCAGCTTAATTTGAAAATCAAAAAATTCATGTGAACAACATTCTAGCCATAAAATTCTTCAAATATTCTTTCTGAGTTATCTAGCGTTGAAACTGTTTAATCTTATGCCTAGAATGATCAAATCAATCCGTTTTGAGGTTATTTAGCCGTTAAAGTCCCATGTTTTCATCTCTAAGATGTCCATTGTAGTATTTAGAGCACCTAGAGTAGTAATATTTCATAGGAAGTATGTATCAGTGAATAGTTAGGGCTTCAGCACACCAAAACATGAACAGTGTTCAATAATTGAGTTGCATACTGCTAGTTTAGAATGCTCGCCAACCACGCATGTGGTCCGGGGTTCCATCCCCGGCCGACGCACTCCTTAACCTCGCTAAACCGGTAAAGAGGGAAGGTTGGGCATGAAGCTAGCAACCTCATCTCGTAAAAATAAACACCACTGCTCCTGAAACTTCAAAGCTCTAGCTTGAAGCCCTATGTTCCACTGGGAACGTAAAGGAAACATGGATGATATGATGAAACAATAGTGGGTACATTTTATCCTTCAATTCTCAAATGTGGTTATCCGATGTCAAGCGCAGGACGATTAGATAGGTCGAAATATAAAGTGTGTTTCGGTATCAATACTGCTGAGTGGTAATGCCTGCTTAACAGATTAAACATTCTTTACTAACAATCGGATGTAACACGACACAGTATACTAGTTGGCGTCGGTGATCGATTGCTCACCTTTAAGTTAACCAATCGACCTAAATAATGGAGGTTAACAGCTAATGTTTTGTGGTGATGATGATGTTGAAAGCTGTAGTTTAGCAGTTTGGGGGAATTAGTCGTTTATACACTAAATGGATATTATAATTGATTTAATTATTATTTTTGAGAATTTTTTGAGAATTCCAATTAACTAATGAGTTTGTTTTTTGATAATTACATTTAAGATAAATAAAGTTGGACTGTTGCTTTTGAAAAAAACAATTTTCTTTCTACATAATTTAATTGTCAACTAATTTTCTTTTTTTGTTTAAATTAAGTAAAATGATTTTGTTTACGAAAATGAGCGCGTAAGACATTTCAAATGGTAATCTTTGCTGCAAATTAACACTTAATATTTCATTAACTAATGAGATTAACTCATTGATGTTCAAAAAAAATTAAATTCTCCAAATTGAATGTTCATTAATACTGAATTAATTCTAGTTTTGTTTCATTTATTGAGCAAACATTGTCATTGAGATATTCTAGTTGTTGTGCAAAGCAAGATGAACGTTGCATATCGCCGCTAATTGTAGCGTCATAGTCCGTTGCTATGGCAGTTTAATTACAAGTTATATTTTTCTGTATTTTTAAATGAAATTCTGCATTAAAATTGTTTTTCTGACGAACATATTATCAGTGGCATTATTCTGTTGAACTGCGTCACATTTGCTGCACTTTTATCAGCATTTTCCTGAAATCATGCTGATATGTTTTGGTTTTTTTGTTGAACCATCCTAACACCCACCAGATAAAGCAGGTGGTGCCACTTCAAAAAAGGAATATACCATAAAATCGCCTATTAATGTTGCTTCCTAAATTAACAGCTTTAGGGTTGATGTAATTCCATATTAGTTTGTTTATTAGAGCAGAGCACAAAAACTAGGTAGTACCAAGGAAAATCTAAGACAGGAAGTGATGCATATAAGAGAAGCCTTGAAACTTAATAATTACCCTGATAAATTAGTCAGGAAATATGTAGGGAAATGTAAAAATAAAATAAGTAATGATAATAATAATAATATTAATGACTACATGCATGTCAAATATGAGCAAGAC